GTTTACGCACACGCATATACTTTGGATTCTTACTCTCGAGAATCTTCTACAACTTTGGAGAATAGACGGGAGTTTTGCAATACATATCTAACACTATAAGCTAGGCATGTTTTTAAATATAAACTCAATCCAAACAAACGTTGACATTAAAATAAATACATAACAAATTTGGTACACTCCTCTAGGTATTATGGATCTCTGCTTGAGGCAGGATTTAACATTTAACTTTTTAGGGTTAATGTGGTTGAACCTATAATCATTTGTATTAACATTTATGAGTTAGAGTGGTTGAACCTCTAATCATCTGTATTGACATTTAAGGGTTAGTGTGGTTGAACCTCTAATCACCTGTATTATCATTAAGGGTTGGTGTGGTCGATCCTCTCTGTCTATGTTTCTATAGCCCTGATGTTAGAGTTTGTAAGTTTGTTTTAGTTCCAGTTGTATTTGGGTTTGAATTTCAACCCCACAACTGCACTTTCTATGCATCAGTTTCTTAGTTGAAAATACAGGAATTTCCACCCTTACACTCCCCTGGACACCATGTAATGTGGAATTCCTTTTCACTGTTTGATTAGTTGCATTCACAATATATATTCTGAATTAACTAGTTAAGTTTGCTGAAATAGCTACCTATTTGAAGGGCCAGTTGTATGGATAAAGTACTCTCCACCCTATGATGGACTAAATGGTAGATATTAAGGCTCATCTTAATATTGGTTTCATAAATTACCTAGTGTGTTTTCATGGGGCTAGAAATGGTAGTCTCATACTTCTGTGATTGCTGGGTGCATTCCCAACTCACTGACGTAACTCACTTCAAATGAGCTGTGGGCTATTTGTACATGGCTCTACTTGTTCAGATATTTGTAACATTACAATTCTCCTTTCCCAGGAGTGACAGGTTCTTTTTCCTTCATGTCCTCTTTCAATGTTGGGATTCTAGCTCAAAGTTACAGTGGAGATATGATATTTTATTTGAAATTAACATTTTAGAATTAAAACTAGGTTCTCAGAGATACATACCTCAACTGTAATTCACCTTGCTTACCCTTCTCCATAGAAAGACTTAATTCTGATTCTTAATAAGAAAGATTTGTGGATTTTATATTTCTTCGTGGTATACCAGCCTTTGTCAGTTATATGAATGTTTTGGCCATTTTTGTAACGCTTTCTTTTCAACTTTTGTTAATATGCTTCTGGAAGCCTCTTTAATGACCCCCCCCCCCCCCCACACACACACCTCATGTAACTATTATTAGTTATTGGTTGTATTTAAAGTATTTCTTCCATTGGTTTTATTTAACTTCACAGGTCTATTGTGTCCTATTATGACACATAACTAGTAAAAACAATATAGAATAATTTAAAATAAGAAAATTTTAACATTTGTTAAAGCAGCAGTGTTTAAAGTTATTATAATTGGTCTAAATCATCAAGCATAGATACTTTGTAATAATACTCATCAGTATTTGTAAATTTTACTTATATTTTGTGGTCAAATATAAGAAGGTTGTGAAATATATATATATATATCTGTTTGTGTAGAGATGGGGTTTGAAATGTGAAAACCTGAGTGAAGAAAGTGATAATGCATGACAATATGATTGAAGTCTCAAACACACTGATATTTTACTTAAGTCTTTAAAAGGTAAGATAATGTTTCCTGATAAACGTTTATATTTCTTATAAATCAAGAATTCCCTGTCTTTCAAATGATTGGTGTAATATTTTCATACTGATGGACAGGAATGTAGTGTTGCTGGAGTGCTTCAGAAATGGAAATTAGGTTTTGAACAAAAGTTCTTCAGTCTGTTGGTGTCATCACATGTGGGACAGTGGTGTCTGCTGTGTGAGTGTTGTCTGCTGTACATTATGTTAACATGACTTATTGTTAGTATGTTTGGAGAATTGAAATATCAGTCATTGTTTAGAAATTGTTGTAATGATTTTAAAATACTTGGATTAACTTGTGACAGTACTATACAGTTCTGACATTAAAGAAGATAAGATGGATGCTTGCAGTTCTTAAATAACAATTGAGACTGTACAGCTGACATTCATCCTTCACACTGAAGCAAAAAGTTTAAAACAATGCAGCTGGAATTTAGTATCAAATGGATTTGCGAAAGTATCTGGAGTTTTTTGAAAAAAGATGTCTTAAGAATTACTACTTTTTAAGTATTGTCTTAGGTATTTTTATTATATATGTTTGTGTATACAGAATCTTTGAGTGGTATGTATTAAAACCTTTTGTGTGATAAATTGTCAAACTAAAAATTGTGCTTAGTGATGTTTGAATAGCTACTTTTTGGAACTACCACATTTGTAGTACATTCACCCTAAGCTTGGGTTTTTTCTTCAGTGAAATCAAACTGTGATATTACTAGTGTATTTGCCTGTCTGGTATGGCAAGATGCCTATACTAACTATTCTCAAACCAGTGCTGTTATGGACAGACAAACAGCTGTTTTTACTTATCATTCCAACAGACATTGACTTGTTACATAACCACAACACACATTGTAATGAAGAAAATGATGGATCTCTGCAGGAGATACAAAAATTTGCTCAGTTGAGTTTGTTTTAAAGGTAGTTATTAAGTTTTGTTTTTAAACTTCTGTAACATAGGTTGTCAGTATCAACACTGACTTTTAAAATTCATATACATTTTTTTATTGATAGCAAAGTTGATTTAAACCCACTTTTATTTGTGTTTCCATCAGTTCTGTAGTACTGATAGGTACTGAAAAAGTAATATTCTGATAATTATAGGCTGTATTTATGTTTGTAGTATGATTCAAACCTTTACTGTATTGGTATTGAATATGGACTTGATTAGTTATAAGGTAAACTGAGTAAAACTATTAACAATAAACTTCCATTTACCTCCAGTTTAATATGTATTGTAGAAATCTGACTGTTAAGTTTTTAACACCATGTTCAGGAAGGACTTTTATATACCCAGCCCTTGAATGATGTAATACTAGCATTACCTGTGATTTTTAAAAAATAAATTGTTCTCGGGCCCCTATTAACAAGATTTGTACAAAAAATGTAAAAAGAAATTCCTTCAGTTTTGTAATTAACCTCACTAATGACTGCTTGGGTCCCCTATTTGTCCTACAAAGAAAATGAGGGATTTAGTCTATCTTTGGTTATTTCGTTACACTGAGTGTTGTAACAAGCAAATGCATAAAATTATTCAGTGTGACGCAGTATGTGGATTACATTGATAAAGAACAGTATAAAGACATGTCTGTATTTGAATGTTAATACATTTGACTCCACTGAACAATAATTTGAAAATAAGTAAATTGTTATTACGTCAATTTCTATTTATACTCTTACAGAAATAATAGGATTTCCTATTTTTATTCATGGTTCATTCAGCATCTTCTTATTAAAGCCATGAAAGGTGCTATAGCTACTTATGGTGGAACTTGGAGTAACCTCACTGGGTAGGTGATTTAGTTCAGTTATGAAGGTGGTATGCACAGACTAGTTACAGAGTTTTGGCTTTTACTGACACCAAAGTATTCAAAAAAAGTTGTAGTTTAATACACCTAATGAAGTGTAAATAGTCTGTGATAATGAACAGAATTTTGTTTGAAAAAATTTATTGATATTTTAGATTCTTATTTGAAACCAAAAGAAAAACAAATGTTTGCTACTCGGGTGATAATTTTTCCATTTTGGTTGTATTTGTCAAGCTTCTTTTATGTGTGTAATTTCCAATGAAAACTTTTATTTGAATGCTGTTTATTAGGAGCTTAGAACTTATGTTCAGATAGATCAAACAAGTAGATAATAGGCTTATGGCTTCATTGTTCTTTCACACTGTATTGTATAGTTTATTTAAATGAAACATGATTGGAACATTCTTTATTTTTCTTTCCTGTATCACCAAAGTTGTTGAGGAGTTATAGTGCAAGAGTTTTTTCCTTGTTTCGTCATTGTTCACTTGAATAGCAATGAACTCAAACATCCTACGACATGTATTTTATAACACCCAGTAATATCATAAATGTAAAGATTAAAACGAAAATTACAAGTTGGATGTTCCTTGTTAGGAACATCAAAACTGGGAACATCTACAACATTGATACGTTATGAGATTTTAAAGTCTGAAAATGGAATGTGTAGTTTCCAGTGAGCTAATGTAATCATGTTCTGGTCATAGTATGAAATCTGTACGTAATTCATATCGTGAAAAAGCCCAGTGTTGATATATTATATATATACTCAGTTTTTACATACAAATGGTATACTTACTATTCTGAACACTACATGTTTTTATAGAATGTTTAAAGACAGCTTGAAAATAATGCTGTTACAGCTATGGCCAAAGCATGTGAACATTCTTATTAAAGAAAGAATTATCCATGACACTTTACAAGTGAGCTAGATACAATGATTGATTGTTAAAAATAAAAACAGAACCATGGGTTTGAGAATAAAAAAATGTTTTCATAGCCAATATGATTTTTTGTATCTGAAGGAATAAATGCGAGTTTCTCGTAACAATTTAATGAAGAGTTTCACATTCTTTTTTTGTCATTGACAAGGTCTGTAATTAACATTGAATGTCTGAATGTCATCAGTAATATCTGAAATGAATATTGTGCATCAAGAAAATAGTATAGAACAAAAAATTTGCAGTACTCTACAGTTAGGTTGCAGCTGTGTGATTTAGTACTCCATAGACTACACAAAATGTTACTTTAATGGAACTTTTTAAACACAAAAGTTGATTTAACATCAGCATTTTATTGTCCTAATATGTTGAGCCACTAAGTAATCAAACCTACTCCTATAACAACTTTGTTGAACGTGATCTTGTGAAACATATTTGCACTTGTAAAGAGGATGAATGAAAATAAAATTTAAAGAGGCTCAAGTAACAGTCATTCTTCGTTTCAGCTGGCTCAGGTGACTTCCTCCCAAGGTTACTGGAGGCCAGTGTAATGTTTTTGTGAGTGAGAAAGCATTACAATAGCTTTATAATGGTAAATATTTCTGTGCTTTTAAGTACAAGTTAAGTATTTTATAAACAGAATTGTGCTAGAAATAATGCACTTCTTCCAAAGTTCGATATGAAACTTCAAATAATTTCTCAGTTGTTCTGTTAGTCAACCAACTTATTAAATTTAACTTCTTTTTACTGTGAGACCTTTCTTCATGTTACATGCTAGTTTATTGTTTCCTGAATTACAGTATTTAAAGCCTATGAATAGTTGGAGCTTTATAGAAAATATTTATTGATCATGATGTACAAATATTAAGCAGGTTTAATTGTTATCTTTCTTTAACAATTTCTTTTGTTTCATTATGTAATACTGAGTGGTGGTTGATTTGGTTGTATGCAGTGGTGATTTAGGAACTTAATATCTTTTTAGAATTGTTGTAATGAAAAATTACACTAAATAATATATAGTTTTTACATCTCTTGTTTACTAGCCTTTATATTAACTTGCGTATTAAAATCGTTAATCACATATTCAAATTAGAACATTGCTTTGGCATTTAGGTAAATTTTCTTGGAGATCATGCTACATAAATGGCTGAGAACATACTAGAGTGTTTGTGAAGAATATAGATAAATGTAACTAAATGAAGTTGGCAAAATCTCAAAGAAGCTTAAAACAACACCAGATGCCAAAAAAGGCAAGGGAAGAGAGATTATTCTCACAGTAGAGACACTGCGAATATTTGTTTTTTATTAAGTGACATTTTTTTTAAATTGTATTTTTTTTATCAATAGTTGTACATGATAAATGCTAAATTCTTTAATAACTCATTATAAAACAGTGTAAACAGTTTTGAAAAAGATACAAAATCCCTCGTTATAAAATTCCATTTTTATTACATTATTGTTCAGGAGTTATATGGTAAATTTCCGAATTATGTTGGCTCTTAATTAGCCTTTGTCCCTTATATTTTGTTTAAATTCATGAAGATAAAACTATTTTGAATCTGGCATCTGACTTATTTTGTTTCATTTCAGGACATTTCGAAACACACAACTCTGTGCCAGGTCATCACAAATGGGTGTGACTTACAAAACACTTTTAAAGATGAAGAGAATAAAACAAATGACCGTGACATACAAAACACTTCTAGTGTTGAAAAGCACAACACAAATGGATTTGACGTACAAAACACTACTAGTGATGAAAAGCACAACACAAATGGTTCTGACATACACAAAATGTCTAGTTATGGAGAGCACAAAACAAGTGGCCTTGATGTTCAAAACAGTTCTAGTGATGAAGAGCACAACACAGGTGGCCCTGCTGTACAAAACATTTCTAATAAACTGATCAAAACACAATTGCTGGAAAAATAAGTGCTTGTTTTATAGAATTAGCATTGTGAATATTGATGAAACATGTTGTAATATGTGAGCTTTAAATACATTGTTTTTAAGACTTTTTCATATAGCTAAATAAAGAAAATTATGTTTCATTTATTTTCTTGAAGGCCTTAAAAGAAACTTATGTAAGAGTAAGTTAGTAATTTACGGTCGAATTGACTGTGTTTTGAATACCCTTCCTGAATGAATGTCCATTTTTATGAGTGTACATTTTTCACAGTATTTTTTGCTAGCTTCTACAATTGCAAGTAGTTCTTTTCAAGGAATAATATTTGATTGATTTTTAAAGAAAAATGTGAAATATATGAATTATTCTTCAAACAGTATTACCTTTTATGGTAAAATTTACAAATGAAAGGAAGAAAAATTCTAGAATAACAGGATGGTTATTATAGTTATTTGTGACAATGAAAAATGGAGCTTCATCATAAATAATATTCCATATAATATAAAGCCTTTTGTTATTGAACTAATCTAATTGCAATGTCCAGTGGCCCTACAATTTTTAATTAAGTCATCATTAAAAGGACAAGTACGGACTAGTGGCTATTGTAACTGGACTCTGGATTCAAGGGTTTTGAATTCAAAATATGGTGTATGTTGGATTGGAGATTAACGATCTAGGTTAAAAAATTTGCTGTGACCAAGCATGGTTCAAACTTTCAGCTGTGGGTGCATTATAAGAGTGACTGTCAGTCACGCTGTTTGGTTATAATAACTACTTTAGGCAGTAGGTACTGCCAACATATTCTCTGACTGACATTTATCTTATTGGGTACATAAGATATTATTCAGATGGAAAACAAATGAACCCATCCCAAATTTTTCACAAATATCAATAAATGTATTCTTTTTCAGGTCATCTTGGGTTGCTGATGTGATGGTGATGCATGTCGACGTTGACTATGTGCAAGTAATTGATGGTTTTATGAATGTAGCTTTAACAAGAAAATTCTTAGGATTGTAATAACTACTGATGTTGCAACTTGTGTGTTTATAATAGACTGGAACAATAAACACTATTGTTGAGCATTGCAGTCCACAATGGAACAAAATAACCACTGATGTTGCAACTTGCATGCTTGTTTTTAATGGATTATTATGATAACAATGGATGTTGCAGCATGTTTGTCTACAATGGATCTTAATGATAACTGCTGGTGTTGCAACTTGTATTTTACAGTAGATTGCTCTGATAAAAATGGATGTTACACCATGCATGTTCCCAATGGATTGTAATGATAACCACTCATGATGAAACTTGTGTACTTACAATGAACTCTAATGATAAAAAACACTACTATTGAGATTTGCTATCCACAGTGAATCATAACGATAACAACTGATGTTACAACTTGTGTTTACTTTCACAGTGGCCAGTAATAATAACCTGTGATGTTAAGTCGTGACTTGCACATTCACGTGTTTATAATTTTTAATTCATATTTTTATTATTTTCATGCAAATAACAACATTCTTTGAAGCAGGTACAATAATTAGTTGAAATTGACACATTAAAAAAAATTAATTTTTCATTAGGTTAACGAAATTTCGCGTTTTTGGAGAACTTCTTATGGAGCATGACTGTTAGAGGAATATGCAAATAAAAGTTGCTTTAAGGTACCGATAGTTGTAATGACTTTAAAAGATTGTTTTTATATTCGTGTGTAAATGTGAGGATGGTATATTTTGTTTGTGTATTTTACTTTAAGTGATTAAAATAACCATTTTATAATGATCCATTACTTGAAGTGCTTTATATATTTCACGTGGTTTCATATATACGTATCTGATACGTACTTTATGTTATGGTATCTCGATGTGATTCATGTAACCACTGATGATAAGGAAATGCCTCTCTAGAATCCGGAACTGTAGTTTGACACCACGCCAGTTTATATTCTATAGCAGTGTTACTCGGCCGTGTCCAAGTATTCAAACTATTTGTCTTTTTGGACTTTGCCAGTTTAGTACGTGCCGGCGGTCATTCTCTCCACTCGCCTATTAAAAAGGCAATATATATATTATGTATATGTCCTTGGTAATGGTTGTTTGTGTGTGCATTCGTGATCATTCGAATGGGATAAGATATTTAGATAAGAAAAACCAGTTATTTAAATAGCGACTATTTAACAATGAGTGGCTAACGTTATACCTGTGTTTGGAAAGACCGTTTCTAAGAGTTGTTACACTAAAAAAAATCTAATAATGTATAAAATGAAAAATGTAACTTGTACAGTCGGAAAACAATAACAATATCAAAAGATTGTTGATATTTAAGTGGGTTTATTTTAATAATTACGAGTCTTTCCGATTTCACACTATTTTTGAGGCTATATAGTGTATGACTCGTGATAAATAGACTGGTATGTTTTTTAGCTGTCTTTGAATAAATGTTTGTAGCTATGCAATGGGCTATCTGTGCTCTGCCCACCACGGGTATCGAAACCCGGTTTCTAGCGTTGTAAGTCCGTAGACGTGCCACTGGGGGGCTTGAATAAATGTACGCCATCGTCTTAACGTAATCAATTTTTTTAACTTTATTTTTTACTTTTCCGTTTATTCCATTGAACTGTATTTACCTAATGTATCGAAGGTGACACGTTCATAGTATAAATAGCTAGAAAAATAAACATAATTAACGAAATCGCAACAATATTTACAAGTGAGGTTAAATGGCTGCTGTAAGCCGAACGTGGCCTAGTACTTAGCATGCCTTGACTGTGAGGGTTCATGGTTCACGGCCCATTGTCCCGTAAAATACGAGTGCGCTAACAAAAATAATGGTAAAATTGTACTATTCGGTCAGATAAGAGTAACTCAAGAGTTGGCGGTAGGTGCTGTTATCTAACTGTTTTTACTATTGCGTGTCAGTTCAAAATTAAAGACGTCTGTGCACAGTTAGCCCATTGTGTAGCTCTGCGCAAAATTTCAAAAACAACTAAAATTAATGGCTGCTGTTATCAGACGCTAGTCTTGAAACTCTTTGCCTACCGTAGGTATTCTATCAACAAGGTGGTCATTTTTGTTGTTGTTTTTACCTTGAAATTTAGTAAATGAAACTTGTTCCGTTTATAAATATCCATTTACACGAGATAAGGTTGTAATCGAGCCAAAAGTTAGAAACTTTGAACAGGCTCCTTTTTTTTTATATTGAACTTGGAACCTATCACATCCATTAATGAGTTAACAAAAGCCAATTAGCTTCATTTGCATATATTTAAGGATAAAATGTAAACAGTAGTTTGATTCTTCTTGCTGGTTGTGTAGTTATGACTAACGTAGTTTGAAAGGTTTAACATTAACAAAAATATTTCGTATGCCAATGGATGGAAATTGATTTTTTTTAAACCACTAGCAATCAGTACAATAAAATTTAAGTGAAACATCACTAACCATTTAACATGATTCACAATTTTACGTAGAGGCAGTTGTGTCTTTACGCTTGTTACGAAGACTTCTGTCGAATTTATAATGGGTTCTTAGGTTTCAATTGATGTATTTGTTTTGACACTCTTGAGTGTAATAAGCTTTTGTCTAGTACAAAGAACAGCAGTCATTTTTTATTGTAAATTACAACTGGTGAATGAAATCGACTGAGAAAAATTCCATGTAACAGCTTTACCATATATAACAAAGTGTAAAATATTGCTTTATAAAAGTACGAAGCATACAAACAGGTTACACGTATAGTTTATTCTTATCGACGTTTCGGGCCTAAAGCCGTTGTTTAAACTGTACAAAACTTTCAACACAACAATAACATATTAAATACATTCACACGTAGACGAGATATGTGGACAACAATAAGCTCATACTTGTAGCTTTGAAGGTAAAGATTAGCAACACTGAAAACAAATAGGGTTAACTAAGAAAACTTCTTTTAAAAAGAAAAACATTGTGCGAAATATACAAGATCATTGTCATTTGGCCCCCAGTGACACAGCGGTATGTCTGCGGACTTACAACGCTAGAAACCGGGTTTCGATACCAGTGGTGGGCAGAGCACAGATAGCCCATTGTGTAGTTTTGTGCTTAACTTCAAACAAACAATCATTGTCATTTGGTCTAATAGTTTATAATACAAATTAATGTTTCATGTACATAAAAGAGTATATAAAGTTATATATATATATAAATACATGCACATTATTCCCACTTCGAACACATGTCATTATCGTGGAGTTGGTATTGATTCTATTCTAGTTTTACTAAAATAATACCAATGTTGTAACAATCTTTATCGTTAAATTGGTTCGTTTTTGTTTATCCGGTAAAACTAATGAAAAGTCCAGTCCACTTAACGATAATGAATGATTTGTTTATTCGACTGTAATAGGAGTTCTACAACCTACGGCCTAATTCTCAAATAAAAATAAACAGCTACTTATTTGCTAATTTTCTACTTTGTTGAAATTCATATTCAGAATGTATATCACTGAACTGACTTGTAACTATCTAACTCATTCACAAACTGACTAACTCACCCACCCAGTTTGATGTCTTCATACACTATGTTTCCCCGAATCTCCCGAAAATTCCAGATGCCATGTCATATCTAGATACTCAAGAAATTTCTAGGTGTCATATTTCATGCTAAAACTCCTCCTAGCAAACAGTACAAGCATCTAAATTAAAATACTTAAAAAAGACCGACAACACTGCACCCTCCCTAAATTATGAAGTAGTTCCTTGAACGAACTTAATACACAAATAAAAAATGTTCTTTCGCTGAATCGTTCGGCGAGTTCTTTTAGGTTACTTGTTGAAAATAATGCAAAGTCCAGTCCACATAATGATAACTGATTAGTTTGTTTATTTCTTCCTAAATGTTTGCTACAAGCTACTATCACTTGTACATGGTTGTTGGCTTAATTTCATAAGTAATGTTTTCACTTTCAACAGAAACTTACTTGCTAATGCTACTAATACGACTAACGTACAAATAAACTTACTTTCACGGCTAAATGACTGAGTAACTGAATTATGTAAGACAAACTGAGGTATCCCTCTTTTGACCGGGTTATGAACTTAAAAAAATGTTGCGGTGGATGCCATGATAAATGACACAAAAATCTTAACTTTCACACAATTTATTTTTAACATAACATGTTATTACAGTATTCATCATTACCTCACCAAAAGTTTTGTATAAACTTTAAGAACTCAATATGTATATACTCAAAACATGGTATACTCTGTGAAATGGTCTGGGTGGCTCTGTAGGAAGAGGTAGTGGCGGTCAGTGCGTTTTCTATTACCCACTTTCAACACCCAGCTCGTAATTTTCCTCCACAGTGTTTCACGTGATTAATTAATTGACCGTCATTGGCCACAGAAGTATTTTACGAGCTGAAGTTGAAAGGTCACGGGTCAAAGTAGGGAGTAGGTATAACTCAATAAACGGTTCTTCATATCAGCCTTATTGTGGCTGTTGGAGTAGAAACTTCAGCTGAGTTTATGTATTATTGCAATGGTGGCGGTCAATTTTTTCATTGCATTTTCCATAGAGATTCTAACGCACTTTCTAAGACGTTTGTGTGGCCCTCCCCCACAATGCGTGTATGTTGTGCTATAGAAAATTTAAGTTTTTCTTTTTTTTGTGTAAGGATGTGGCGACATCTATGAAAGTAGTTAACCTTAATTTACGTCAAAGATAATAAATGCTCAATAACAGTAATAATTGGAGTGGAAGGGTCCACGAACGGACTAACAGACAGGCACAGATCTTCGTGCTTTATATGTACAGATCTAACACTGATCTGATTACTTCACTAACCTTTCAATCCCTGAACTGAAAACTTACTTAATGCTTCACCGATTCTCTATTTATAATCTATCCTTGTTTCTAGATATTTTGCAAAATCTCTTGGTCATTAAAATTTACAAACTTCTCTCCTTCATATAGGGTTGAAGCGTCTCGTGATCCTTCTCCATTTAGATCTATCATTCATCACACTGAGGTCTACTTGACTATATACCATACCACTTCCATTTTAATTCCTGCACCTTCCCTCTGATGTTACAAACGTTCACCTCTTGTCTAGTTT